CATACAGAATCGCAATATTTACGAACTGTATACAATTTTTGCGTCGCGAAAGTTAATACGTATTGTTTCTTCTTTCCCATTACTCATAATAAATCTTCGCAATAAAATCTGTTAATACTACTTGTTTAATTTAACGATGCCGTCTGGGGATTAAAATCTTAATATTTTATTAGTTACTATATGTAGTCATTGGTTAATTGTATATTTTATATTGATCTATATATGCTGCTGGTCTAACAGTTACATATATATAATTTATAAAAGAAAATGAAAATATATTATATTGATTGATATCCTATAACCAGTGTAAACTGACTTATGTCTGTAGAGTATTCGCAGACGCAGTATAGCGTGGAAGCGGGTCTAGGAGCGGCCTCCAGTGAAAGTGAGCCGGCGCAATATCCACTGTGTCTCAACATCGCTCGGTAACATGATGTAGCATATGGACACTTGAAGCGCGACGTGCGACCGCTGTATATGGAGAATATTAAAATTATACTTTAGTATGTATTAAACATTTGGTATATTATTTATCTAATCTTTCTTCATTAGAAAATATAGAAATATTAATAAGGGCTACTAAAATAACATTTTTTTTGTAAAAGTTAATGAGTGTTTTCAACACGATAAAGGAAAAACTACGTCTCTTTACTGACATTCAATAAATCTGATTGTATTCAATGTTTGCAGCGTCGTTTTATCAAGTGGTTATACTAACAGGAAGTGTTTGTCACTGTCAAGCGGCGTGTCACACTCGCGACACAGAAGACCCTCTTGTGTGTATTGAACTCATTTTATTGTAAATTAAACTTATATTTTTCGGATATACTACGCTACTTGATTTTTGATAAAAACTACATACTCCCGACGTTTCGGCTACTTTTCAGCAAACGTGATCACGGACAGACGAGATATGAGCGTTTATTTATATTGTATAATGAGACTAGTAAACCCGGCGGACTCCGTTCGTCACCAGGCTTCGTTTTATGTAACATTTCGTTTGGTGATTAAAAGATGAAGAATTTTTTATTGTTTTATATTTGAAAAGGAAAATTTTAATTTCGTTTCACAACAGTAATGAATTCATTTCGATTACAGAAATTATTTAGTTGAACTTCTCTAAGACTTTCAGAGAGACTAACGAACAGCAATTCATTTATATATATAGAAAGATATCAATATATAGATAGATAAAGATTGAGTAAAATATGAATATCTCATTTAATATTTAAAAGTAAAGAAAAGTGTTCAGAAAAATATTTTTAAAACGGACGTGGCAGTAAGATTCCAAGGCCATAAATTGAAACGGTTCAGTTAACGTGAACATCGAGAAGTAGTACCCTTCTTTATAGCCTTCAATATAGTTACTTTCACGTAAATTGAGAAGCTTAGAAATGTCCCCTTAACGTCGACTAACTATTTATTAAACTTACTCACTTATTAAAAGATAAGATTAACAGTTTCTTTTCTCGTCCCAAACGTATTATTATGTAATGTAAATTGAAACTCAGATTATTTAGGTTCTATCACATATAACCATAAGTTTGAATTTCAAATGATAAATTAAAATATTATGAAAATAATCATGATTAATGTTAATGTTAGAAATAAAATACAATATTACATATGTTAAAGAGATAAAAATCTAAATAATATTCCGAAAAAATATATATTACTTGTTTACATTAAAAAAATGGTGGTTTCGAATATGGGTTTTTTAAAAAGTAGGTGTAATTAATTTTGACCTGTTTTTTTATTAACTAGGGTAGGATTTTTCATTTTTATACAATAATGTTATAATTAAAATAGAAATTTTAAATAATTCATGAAAAAATTATTGGCCAAAGTCACATGTATGAAACTACATAATATAGCTTTGGAATGATATTCAAAAATTGTTAATGTCAGCGAATAATTGATTACAAACAAATGGAATTAAATGTAATGAAAAAGAAGAAATGTTGTAGTTCTCCCTTCAAAAGTTAAACAACTTGGTTATTAAATTTCATAAAAAAAAAAACAATTGGATGCAGAAATAAAAATTATGTATAATTTGTTTCAATACTATAACAAATATTTTAAAGGTTGATTTATTATTGAGAAAGTATTTTAAAAATGAATTTCATCTCATCTTCCCGCTAACGAGTTTAATAAAAAGTTATTTATTCTATAAAATCAGACTACATAAGAGAACGTAACTAAAGAGCATAAAACATAAAAGGTAATTCAGCGGATCCTTAAAAAACTATCTCATTAAAGTAGTATCTCAAACGTCATGGCATTTTTATTATAATAAATTTGTGATTCAGAACTCTATGTAGGTAATTTAACGATGAATATATTGACAATTTTTGTTAAAAAAAAATTATAAAAAGGATTTCTATGGCTTTTTGCCTATTTGTTTCTGTTTAAATTACAAAATATCAATTCAAATAAGTAAATAATAGATTTTATAATACAACTAGCTTTCCGCCCGCAGCATCGCCCGCTTGGAGTTCCCTTATATAGTGTTTTTCAAGAGAACCTTTCAAAAGTCTGGGATAAAAACTATCCCATGTTCTTTCTCAAAGTCAACTCTATCTCTGTACCAAATTTCATGAAAATCAATTCAGTGGTTTAGGCGTGAAAGCGTAACAGAGAGACAGACAGACAGAGCTACTTTAACATTTATAATAGTAGTAGGGATACTTAATGTCCGAATTCTTTAAACAAGCTTTCATATGACAACATAATTAAGTAGCAACAATTTTAGGACTGTAGTGACTTCCTCGGCTTTGTAAAGCAGATCGTCCGCAAATCTGACAGGAGTGGGAAAAGACTGAAATCTTAAAATCAATTATTACAGTTCCTTAATATATTTACAATGATTAATTAAATAAGTGTATCATGAACAATAGTTAATTTTAAATGTAATTTAACAGTAGACAAGTTTGTGTCTTATATATTTCTTATATTAACGATATACCTAATTCTTTTCGCCGTATAAAATGAATGATTTGAACCTAACGGCTTGAACCCAATACTTCTATTGAATAATCATCACTCAAGTCTTAAAATAACAAGTGTTACGAAGTATGTTTTTATGATATAGTTTGTATTGAAAAATATCGAATAAACAGAAATTTTTATAAATTAAAATTATGAAAATTTTCATAATCTTCTAAAGATGGAACTAACAATGTATATTGCCTTCTTTTATCGTGCCCAAGGACATGTGTCGCGTATAACATTAAAGGCGTTATTTCATTTTAATATTTCTAACAAAGGACGTGTCACTGACTTGTCTACTCAATTTTATTGTTATTTCGTTTTTGACATAGGAAAAGAAAAACATACTTTCTCTAAAGTAATACAACGAAAACGAAACATTGCATTAGTTTTGAATTAAAGAATCGAAATTTGTCCAACAATCTTAATTGATTAAAAAGATTTTTAAGAATGATGTGATTAAAGAGATTATATTAAGTATTCTATGAAACGTTTTTAATTACTGTGATATAATTGACAATGTATAGAAAAAGTGTTACTTATGTTACTTATGTAGTCCGATTAACCGTTTACTTCTAAGTAGGCATCAAAAATATTTTTATTTTATTTTGTTTATATTGAGACTCACTCATTAAACTTCTCGTTTTGTTTCCCTTTGTTTAACCAGGACGCTTAAGATATTCATCGAAATAATTTATTTCGCCTATCGAAAGATCTTATTTAAAATAAAAATTACTATACGAACTTTTCTATCACATTAGCTTCCAAATTTTAATTAAAGAAATAAAAATAATCTACATACATAATTTACTTGAATTGTACTTGAACTTATCACGTCCATACATCATAGTGATAGTGGTTCAAAGCAATTTCTCAACGTCGCACTTTATTAATAATGTAAAGATATCTTGAACAAGAACGGCGTATTCCTATAGCAATCAAGTTCAAGTGACTTGTTTTTACTTTATAACAAATAGCAACATGTAAAGAAGAACACAATAACTAACGATCAATTATGAAATAAACTATTGAAGACAAAGTTCTTTTCATGAATGTTATCATAAGAACCTTACAATGTTATAAAATAGAATGGAATGAAATGAACAATAGTATTGACTAAAATATAAATAACTCGTTAATAATAAAGTACCATTGTTGTATTTTATATTATAACGTATGTATATATAATAATATGAAACCATATAATATTATGGAATTCATTAATATTAGATTTAACAATCCGAGTATGGATTTAAGACTATGAAGGCAGATAATTTTAAAGGTTTTTTTTTATAGTACCCAAAGGGTCAAACCGTCGACGTACGAGTATGTTTATTTATTTATTTATTTATTTACTCTTTAATGTACACCAATATAGACAGAAATAACAAGAGAAAAACAAAGAAAGGAAAATGTACAAATAGGCGGCCTTATCGCTAAAACAGCGATCTCTTCCAGGCAACCTTTAAAATATTTTTAATCATGAACATACGTAAACATTTACAAAAATAGTTCTCGGTATTTCTTCTCCATTTAATCTTTATATTTTAACCAATCATTCGCTTTAGAAAAGGGCATGCATGACTTTACATATAAATATGTCCTATAATAATGACTTTACATATAAATAAGTAACAGACTTTACATATAAATAATATATAATGACTTTACATATAAATAAGTGACATTCATAATGTTAAGAATACCTTATAAAATTACTGTCTTTACTCACAACAATAACTTCTAGCATTATTTAAAACGACCATGAATAGAAGAAAATTCCATACACATTTAGGGAATTCAAAAACACGTTAAATTTATATATGAAAATACTTAGAATATATGTTATTATTTTTTAGATATTTGAAGATTGTTTGCATTAAAATTGTTATAATACCTACCTAAGTCTAGTTAATGCCCATGTAATAATTAAATTCTTATTATAGTTTAAATGTTAAATATCATGAAACTTGATTGTTTTTGTAAAACTTTACTTACTATGTATATTTATTTTAAATGAGCACTAAACAGTATGAACTCTTATTTAGAGTAATGTTTATGTGTAGGCAACTAACGTAACGTGTGGCTCGACTGTTTAAATTTTATACAAATTTAAACCTTTTATTTATAAAGTCCCGTCATTCTTACTTGTATTAAATGTTTTATATCATCAACAGTGCAAATTAAGGTTTAACAAATTAATGTCTTGCCGATTTTCATTGAACCACTCTACAGTTATGTACATATATGCATCTTAATGAGACGAAACTTCTCAGCAATCCATGGATTCACCGTGCGGGTGCCGGGTCCATCGCGTTGCAGGGAGAGGAGCTTCAACAGTGCCTGGGACTTGCGACCCAGGTGTAGGTTTAAGGGGCCCCTTAACTAACGCGCGTTATACGCTCACCTCCACTGTCCAAGCTCCTCTCCCTACCTAACCAAATTTGAAAAGAACCTACTAGGGCTGCCTTCGATGTACGTTCTAAGAATGAATTAATGTGAGTTCTGGACAAGCTCAAGTCCTTTAGTAGGTTATAGAGAGATTTCGCTGTAATACCTCTCGCTCCCACCTCCACCGCGTACAAATCTACTACGAACCTATTTCGAGTGATTTCGTTTGTGAGCTCGTAATATTTGTTGACCTTGATGGTATGGTCTTTGGGGATGTTGGTTTCCCAAGGGACCGTAAGCTTTATCATCACTACGCGCTTTAAAATTCGCGAAAACAAAAATATATCCGGTCTGGAGGCTGACGCACAAATGTCCTCGGGGATTTTATATTGTTTTTCATACGTGTCCATCATTATAGTCCAATCCGACGCCGCTTTAAGGATGGAGTAAGGCTTGACGTTTGATTTTGTAGCCCTAGTGCCTTCTCTCACAAAACCTACTGATCGTTCGTTTGTGGTAATTTCCTTTTGCACTCTGGCTACCGAAAGACTAACCGCTTCACGTATGACTTCTAAAACCCTATCGTGACGACGCGAGTATTGACCGCTGTCCAGGAGTACCTTACATCCCACCAGCAGATGTTTAGCAGTTCCAACTGCCTTTCCACAGATATAGCAAGTTTTTTCGGTACTTTTACCCCATCTTACTAAATTACTCTGATCTGGGAGAGTCATCTGGAACGCATTGAGATAGAATTTTAGCAATGCTGGCGACCAGTCATGAATTAAAGTGCGCCATTTTAATGCTAATGGGATGCAAAAATCTCCTATGTCTAAACACTCGTTCTGCATTTCTAAATTCATTACATGGATCTTATATTTATCATTCTCGTCTTGCCGAATAAAAGACTTCAATATATCCGCATCTTGGACTTTCCTATTTGATCCTAACCCCACTCTGTTACTTTGTGCTCTTATCATAAATTGCTAATGGAATTGAAGTCGCGACTCTAGCTCGGGGGCATCTTCATCTTTTGGGAGCGATGTCACTACGTCATCATGGGATTTCCCCAGGATATATCTCTTGGAAACTCTTAGGTGTTTATAGAGCTCCGATGACCTTTTTAGACTCATCCCAAAACTATTGCTTCCCCTAAATAACGCCGATGAATCAGCCGTTAGATCGAGCCCGAGCCACAACTTCAACATCTTTATGACGCCTGCATCTAACTTTGACAAAAGGGTAATTAAATACAATATATTTACGTAGTTTTAAGGAAAATCTATTTTACAGCCGGTGTGAGTTTGCAATTTTTTGAAATTGTGTTGTTGTTGTCGAATATAATTATCTTGAACATATTTATTTAATTTGTAAAAAGTATTAAATGATAAAACTATAATATTGTAGGAATATTGGAGAGTATAAGAGGGGCAAGCCATATATGTATAAGAATTTGTCAAAGAATATCAGGGTTCTTTTCTCGTTCAAAACGCGAGTTGGTATGATAGTTTTATCAATCGTAGATTTTCGAAGCGTGTTTAAATCTTTCTTTTGGGATATATTCAAAATATGTTTTCAAGATAGCTTTAAATCAAGAAAATTTAATGTTATTACTTAATTTTTTAGCTTACCACTGCGGTTCTCCTAAAACTAATATTAATACCTATATATTTCGAAAGTGTGTAACTGTTGTTGTGTCGTTATGTGTTGTAGCAGTAAACAGCCAAGACTTTATCCGCTGTCTACTATATGAGATTCATGTGAACCGATTATTTGGGAGAGTTGATGAAACGATTTTTAAGGGAGAAGTTTTAGGTGCTAAACTGAAACACGGCGAGGAGAAAAGTGAGCCGTTTTGACATCAATCAACTCCTGTTTGATTTTTTAGAATATGTCAATTGATGAGTATTGGAAATAACAAAAGAAAAGGAGATTTCCAGCTAATTAAATATATCCTCGTATTTTGCTATGGTTTATAAATTATAAAATCTTTTTACAGGTAGTGGCTATCTATTTGCAAAACATACACTCTTCGTTGTAGGCTTTTGATCTATTTATTGGAACTATATTTTAATAAAGCAATATGTTGAAGTAAAAAATATTATTCACAGATTTTTACAAAATTCTAATGTTTATAAAAGATTGTCTCTGAATTTAACACTAAAATATTTCAAACGTTTCCATAATTATTGCACTAATCTTCTATTTGTAGCAATACAATATTTCATGCAACCTCAGCATTATTTATTTGAAATTTATAATCAATAAATTAAAATAAAATATTTGAAAGAAATTATATTATTTTTATAGATTATACTGATTATTGATTAAGATATATTAAGATAAATATTTTATAATAGTATTACCAATTTTCACATAATCACAAATAATTTTTTGTAAATATATATTTCAATGAAAAATAGTGAAATGTCGGAAAAGGATACAAAAAGATGTATTGAGTCATCTGGACTTTATCAGTCGACTTTCTTTTTAAATTCAGTTTGAATGCTTAAACCAATAAATCTAAAATAAATTTAAAAAGTAACAAAGACTGAAGGTAATAATACTCCAGATGAACTGGATACTAGAAATTCATCGACATTAGCTATTGAAACAAATGATGATTACAATTCCACTCACTAAGTGTGCAAAGCTCGTAGAATCACTTGGTTTTGCATGTTTTGATCACCTTCCCCGAAAGTAGTAATTAATTTCAATACCCTGTCCTATTTAGCACACAAACTAGGCGAAATATCATCGAATTCTCGAAACTAATACAATTATATACTAGATTAAAATTTTATAGTTAAATGTTATGTTGATATTAAAATAAAATGTAACATTATAAAGCGTGGTGCAATAAATGGTTACCATAACTGAAAAACGATTGATATGAAAGAATTTTTGTTGCGACAGAAATATATGAAGACTAGCTTCCGCCCGCAGATTCGCCCGCGTGGAGTTCGGTTATATCGCGTTTCCAAGAGAACCTTTCAAAAGTCTGGGATAAAAACTATCCTATGTTCTTTCTCAAGGTCAACTCCATCTCTGTACCAAATTTCATTAAAATCAGTTCAGTGGTTTAGGCGTGAAAGCGTAACAGACAGACAGACAGAGCTACTTAGGCATTCATAATATTAGTAGGGATAGTTGAATGTGTTCAATATTTAATGGTAAACGTGGATTAAATAAATAACATCAGTTATGGAAAATTTGGCTAGAAAAATATTTTTCATGAATTTTCAAAAGAATAATTCCATAAGGTATTAAAATTTAATTAAAAAGTTTGACAAGCACGAAGAAATGTTAAATGCATAAAAAGCATAAATCCTCAAGAACCTCTGCCTCTTGTGTTGGCATAAATTAAGCCAAATGATCATTAAGGTTGTTCTCTTAATTGTTTTCATTACTTTTACAATATAAAATCCTACTAAAATCCTTAACGAGAAAACCTATGAATAAATGCACTATGCAATAATTACTGTGAAAAAACTTTTCTTCAGGCGATAAGTGTATAAAAATGTACTTACGTCGTAAACGATGTCGTGACGAACAATATTCATCTGAAAGTAAATATTTTTATTATTTCATAGAACGGTTCATTACGATTATATTACGCCATAAAAAAAAATATAATATTTTTTGAAACACCTATCCTAAAAAACTTTAAATTTACAAATATATTTTCGCTATGCAGTCATAAACGCCGTCCGCCATGATGGTCTACTAATTATCTGTGCCGTGACGTAATATTCTTGTAAACAATACGAGTGACTATCATAACCTGTTTATCCGAATCTAAAACCATTGCTTCACAAGGATTACATGATAAAATATAGTAGTTATCACTATTAATATCCAGCGGAAATGTAAGAATGAATCAATAAAGAACCCAGAAAAGTTGTGGATTAAAGTACCCAGTGTTGAGAATATGTGTAATACCTGATTACAACTAGCTAAAAGAGATCCTGTAACTCTGTCAGCCGAACAGAAGTGTATTTCTGTAAAGATCACTTCAATGTAAGTTAAAGCAACTTACAACAAATAATTTTTTGTAATTTTCACTTTAAACTATAATGTATTAATATTTTTTCTTTCTAAATAAAGTTTCAGTAAGCGACTATGCGTAGTCAATTGCCCACGTGTTAACATTGGTTCTGTTTTTATATTAGCTTGAAAGTGACATGGAAAATTATAAACAATATAAAATCATGGGTTCAGATAAAAGAATCAGAATGAAAACTAATTGTGTTCCAACTCGATTTAGTTGTCAAAAGGAGAGAAAACGCAAGCGTTTGGTAACAAATGATGAGGATGTTGTCAAGAAGAGAGTATACTCCGTCTAACAATCTTTTATTCTCTTTACATGGTATAAATAATTATCAAGGCGTATAAATGAAAGACCACGAATAACCTGAAATAGCGTTTGATATTACGTTGTTTACAATATTGTGACTTAAAAACATGGCGGACGGTGTTTTAAATTATCAGTTTCACTTGTTTTTTTTATTATTTCAAGTTTCAGTTGAATCTTTATAGCAATCCCTTAGAAATATTTATTGCAGTTTATATATTTCGGACCCTTATACGGAATGATATTTGAATTAGAAGTTATTTTTATAAATGGTGACAAAATCTAATTTTCCACAATATGTACTAGAGACCAATTAAATTGATAATTAAACTAATCTTCTTACGGTCGTGAAAACTATTTAGTCAAAATAAACTAATATTGTTATTTTTTTAACGGGCAGACGAGATGTCCGCCGTGATCACGGTTGCTGCAAAGTCATCGAAAGGTCGGAAGTAGGTATGTAGTTTTTAACATAATAAAATACGATAAGTAATCAGAAAATATTAATCTCATTTAAACATTGATAATCTTCGCGAATAATGTTACAGCAGTCCGATCAGAACGAACATCTAGTATATAGGTACTTTATGATCTGTTCATCACAGCTTTATAAAAGTTATTTGAATAGAAATATCCAGCGGAGTTCCATTTTCAAACATTCTTATAATAATCTTTTGAAAAAAACAAACAAGGCAAACAAAATAATTTATTTGGGTGTACACAACCTGCTAACTAATTAAAACTATAATAATACTTTTTATGAAAACGAATAACATTACCTTTCTTTTAGTTCAATCTCAACTGGTCACAACAGCTCACACACCATGACTTTACACTTATTTCAATTTTATTACCAAACGTCAATATTGAAAATGTACACACTCGTTACTAATTTCATTAAACACATATCACAAGCACAGAACTCACAGCTATAATTTTCCATAATTCGTTAATAAATTAATCCACTGTTTACTAATTAAAACGTATTCACTTGTGCTTAGAAAAACAAATGACAATATTGAATAATAATAAAATGGCGACCAAAGTATAAACAGTTTACCGACCAATCAGAGAGCCTCGTTTCGTTTGACAATTAACGGACTTTCTACAAACAATACAAAATTTAAATCAACTTGCTTTCCGAACACTATGCATGTGTTAGTTTTACACACACACGCATACAAACATTTCCTGTATACATACACGAGATTTGTAGATCGTCCTTGAAACGTTTTGTATGCAAAATAATAGTCCGAGATCCTACTGCAATATTTTTGCGTTCATAGGTTATTTGTTTAAAATCAATTTTTTTATTTATATATAGTTAGGAGAACATAATATATTTACTAGGTTAATTTTTGCGAACACACCCTGACTGCGAAGAGTTGCGGCTAGGTGCGTAATGGCAACCGTGATTTTTTAGAATTTTCATATAAATTACTGTCATATATAGTTTTCTTTATTTAAAAATAAATGAACGGAGTTTTTCCAAAAAATAAATTGAAAATAATTTAATTAAAAATTATGGCGGCCAAATTTTGATGGGTAACTAAGTAAATATACTATCTTCTCCTAACTATGAATAAACTTAAAAATTTGGTTTTAAACAAATAACCGATGACCGCA